AGAGACTAGGTGACTTTCATAGGTGTCTCAGCACTAGGTGTGTTGAGGAGGCTGCTGTACTTTTCTGGAGAAGGACTCCTAGATCTCTCCATCTCCCTGTCTTTACCCTTGGATTGTTGGGCAGAGACTCCAGCAGCACACAGGGGACTCCTCACTTCATAGGGACCCAAGAGAACAGGAACCTCAAGGGGGTCTCCATAGGCCCAGTTTCAAAATAGAACTGTGTATGTGCATGAGAGAGAAGTATTCAGGAGAGCAAGCACTCTGGTTGGCTAAAGAGGGGAACCTGAAATATGAGTTTGGAGCAAGCATATAACTTAAATATCCTCTGCTGGGTCAGCTTTCCCTGCCCCCCGCCACCCCGGTTCTGAGAAATAGATGCCTGGTTCTACCAGAGGAGGATGACCCGTTTTCAAAGAGGTTGCCCTGATTGTTTCTGTTTCTCTCTGCACTGGAACTCTGTCTGTCAGCTTGGTCTTAATGTCCACTCCCAATTATGATAGATGGGTGAACTTTCTTGGGCCTGACTGGGTCTGCTCTGTGATTATCGTGTAGATCTTGCAGGCAGGAAGATCCGATAGCAACTGGAGAAGGCTCCCCAGTGCCTGAGCTGGAGGTGCTCCATGGAGGAGCTTTGGGCTGCTCCTAGTTCCCTGTGTGGTGGTCAGCTTTAAGTTATTGGAACAAAAACCTGAGGTAATCCTACTAGTGCAGTGAAAAGATTTATTTTGCCTCACAGTTTTGGAGATTCCAGTCTTTGTTCAGTTGACCCTGTTGCTTGGGCCTGGGCTTTGCCGCAGTGTGGTGAGGGAGCTCATCATGGCAGAACACGAGGCGATGCAGAACCACTTACCTCACAGCCATGAGCAGATTGAGAGAGAGAGAGGAGACTGGAATCCCACAGCCCTCTCTGCCCACCAGACCCCACACCCTAAAAGTCCCACCACCTTCCAGTAGTGCCACCCTTTAAAAGGACCACTCCTTTACACATGGGCCTCTAGGGAACATTCCAGATCTGAGCTATGGCACCCTATCTGGTGCAAAAGCCCAGCGGGGGGCTGAGGATATGGGGATCTCAGGGTTCTGTCAAGCTTCATATGATTTGTGATTTCTCTGGCAGCTTCTTATATAACTTTGAAATCATTCACGAATCAGCTCTTAGTAAATCTTATTTGAACAGATGACTACGTGAAATCGGACATGAGGAGCTTGGGTCCTCAGGACATGGTAGTTACAGTAAATGGAGTCTCTAACTCTTTTTTCTTTCTTCCTTCCTTCCTTTCTTTCTTTCTTTTCTTTCTTTCTCTCTTTCTCTTTCTTTCTTTTTTCTTTCTCTCCTCAGGATCTCACTATGTAGCCCAGGCTGGGACATGGTAGTTACAGTAAATGGAGTCCCTAACTCTTTTTTTTTCTTTCTTTCTTTCTTTCTTTCTTTCTTTCTTTCTTTCTTTCTTTCTTTCTTTCTTTCTTTCTTCCCTTCTTTCTTTCTTTCTTTCTTTCCTTTCTTTCCTCAGGGTCTCACTATGTAGCCCAGGCTGGCCTTGAACTTGTGGCGATCCTCCTGCCTCAGCCTCTGAAGTGCTGGGATTACAGATGTGCACCACAGCGCTTGGCTGTTTTGCTTTTTACTAGTAAAACTTTCAAGTCTCCAGGAAAGCAGATATAATGCCACACATCTAGCTGTAATCAAAAATTGTTTGCCATATTTACGTACCTGCTGTGCTTGTTATTTTAAACCAGGTTAGGGGATATAGCTTAATGGTCAACCCCTTGCCTGCATGTGCAAGGCCTTGGATTCCATCCCTGTCACTGCAAAAAAAAAAAAAAAAGCACAAATAAAGTAAAAGTATCCTTATATTTTTCTTTCTTTTTTAAATTTTATTTTCTTCCCCATTAACTTTATTTTTCTTTTTTTTTAGTGTCATTATATTTTTAACTCCTAGATACTTTAGATGCAATTATAAAAAAACAAGGACATTTTCATATTTTATCATGCTCTACAAAATTAATCAATTTCTCTATGTGACCCTCAAATTTTTTGATTTGTTCAAACCAAAATTCAACTCCCACATAATATATACAGCTGTTATGTATCTTGTTTCTTTTCATGTGGGACAGTCCTTCCCATTACTTTTCTTTTTCATGAACTAAAAAGATTGTAGCGGTTGCCTTGTAGACAGTCCTGCTTGGTTTGTTGTGTTTTTTCATGCCACATAATTTGTGCCCCCCACCCCTGTGTTTTCTGTGAAATGGAAGCAAAATATAAAGTGTTTAGTAAATTAGGGCTTCAGGGGTGGGATTCTCTTTTTTTGGTACCGGGGATCGAACTTAGGACCTTGCGCTTTCAAGGCAGGTGGCAGAACCACTGAGCTAAATCCTCAGCCCATGGGTGGTATTCTATGTGTCACCCTGCACCACATCAGGAGGGCTTTAATGTCTGATTGCATCACTCTCTGTGGTGTTAAGTTTCTCCTTCTCTTCCTTCTGCTCTTTCTCCTCTTCCACCTCTCCTCTGCCCCTCATCCTTCTCCTGGTGCTGGTGATGGGACCCAAGGCCTTGCACATACTAGGGAAGAGATGTACCACTGAGCTACAGCCCAAGCTGCTGCTCCTTCTCCGCCTTTTCCTCCTTCTTTTGCATTACTGGGGATTGAACTCAGGACCTTTGCACAGAGCTATATCTCTAGCCTTTTAAAATTTTTGAGACAGGGTCTTGCTAAGTTGCCAGACTGGGCATGAACTTGCGATCCTCCTGCCTCAGCCTCCCAGAGTGTTGGGATTACAGTCATTGTTTCTTTTTGATGCTCATTTTTGGCAGTGGAAGCCTCTTCGGGTTGGCTTTTACATTATCTGGCACTCTGCAATGTTTTAGGCTTATCTTTTATGTTCCTTGTACCAGACCTGGAAACCCCCCTTTCTCCAAAGGGGATGGAGTGGGAATGTTACTGAGACCATCCTTCTCTTGATTGGTATAGTGACTTTTGGCTTTCGGGAACACCTACGAGCCTATTGGTCATTTCTGAGTCTTAAAGTTTGTATCTCCAAATACTCTTGTGAATTAGTTTAACAAGAAAGACAGTTCTTTCTTAAATGTGGGGGGGGGGGGGAGAGGAGAGAGAAAGGAGAGGGGGGAGAGAGAGGGAATTTTGAAGACACATGATTGTGAAGATGGGTGTTTTTCAGTAGGAGATTAAAGAAGGCATAAAAAAGTCTAAAAAATATTGCTGTCATTTGTAGGTGGTTTCAATCCCTGAGATCTCTTACTTTTCTGCTTTTGATCTTTGATCTTCCTGAAGTAGCTCTGCTTCTTCCTGGGAAAGACCCAGAGTGTCCCGGCAGGGAGGTCAGATAGGGACCAGCAGCACCCTAGATGGGGCAAGAGGGCAGTGAGGGGCCCAAGGCTCAGAAACCGGAGAGTCCAGGCCACAGAGGATATTGACACTTAGCAGGAAGACATATGGGATCAGGCTTCTTCCACCAAGGTTCCCCCAGCTTTAGATATCTCCCTGGGGAGCCACAGCTGCTTGCTGGCTGGGAGATGTGGTCTCAGCAGATGGCATGTTGTTTGTGGGTGGTTGCTGGACGTAGAACATGCTTTTCTTAGTCCTGAACTGAATCCTCAGATGGAAGTAGAAAATAGGCCCCACAGTAACACAAGAAACACAAGGGATGGGACCCTGAGATCTTTGGTTTCCTCTGCGTGCTTGTTGCAGGTGGAGAAAAGAGCTACAAGGTGGCATCATAATGACAATGGCCATGGTAAGGACGACAGTGACAACAGTCATGGCCAACTGATTGTTTTCAGGTGAGGGGAGGTTGGGTAACTCAGTCAAGTTCACACAGCACAGGAAGTGAACTGAGAAGGCAGATTGGAACCCTGGGTGTGGGCCACCTTGTGAGTGAAGCCTTTCCCTGACTCCAGAGAGCTCAGCAGATGGAGAGAAAGGGCTCAGCTGGAAAGCTGAACTGGTGAGCAATCGGTCCTGATGTCTCTGATCCTTGGAGACATTGCTCAGGGTGCCTGCGCCACCCACTATGTCCCAGGAACCTGAATTTGGACTTGAGCTCTATGTGTGTTCATGCCCAGCCCTGCTCTCCGGAGGCTGTGCTGCTGGTTCAGGTTACCCAGAGCTGGAAAATGCCAAGTCAGGTCATGGGTAAGAATAGAAACCCACAGGCCAGGCACATGCTTCCCTCCTGGGCTCTGGAGGCACAGGGCACCTTATGTGGGCTGCTGCTTCCCCACAGCCAAGGTGTGGGATGATCCATCTTCCCAGCCAAACTTCATGGTAGTTTTCTGTATACACACACACACACACACACACACACACACACACTAAAGGTGTTAGTACTTGGACCGATCAGGTAATGTCACTTCACATCAGAGTAACACAGAGATAAGGATACTCTAAAGGTTAACTTTATTTGTAACCATAACACTAATGGCACCTGTGATACCGGCCTTCAAAGCATATCTCTCCTATGAATGTTCATCTGCTCTGGGATGTTCTGAGACCGTGTGTGTGTTTGTGTGTGTGTGTGTGTGTGTGTGTGTGTGTGTGATGTCTCAGACAGTCAGAGAGTGGGCATGAATAGGAATGCCGTCCTGTGTGTGTCCCTGTAGTGGATTTAGGGATAGTTTCTGATGTTATCTTTGACTCTTCCTTTGTCCTTCTTTAGTACAGGGGTCCAACAGTGCAGAAGGAACCCCTTGTTTGTCTCTGCAGCTGCCCTTTCTTTTCTTTTCCTGGTCCAATGATTTATCCTGGAAAGCAACCTTTAGAGCAAGCCACAGAACAACTGTGTAATTTGGAACCAAGCCTCAGACTGTTTGCAGTCTGCCTGCACCCCTGAAACCTCAGACGCCCCTGGGGTGGGATGGCAGGGCTGGAGGGGTGGGTATCCTGGAGGGTGAATGCAGGAAGAAAGAAGTCCTCCCATGCGGGCCTTCCTAGTATCGGGGCCAAGGCCTCTGACCTTGACTCTGCCCTCTCCCACAGCGGGAATGCATTTCAGTGCACGTGGGTCAAGCTGGAGTTCAGATTGGCAATGCCTGCTGGGAGCTCTTCTGCTTGGAGCATGGCATCCAGGCGGACGGCACTTTTGGTGCTCAGGCCAGCAAGGTCAACAATGATGACTCCTTCACCACCTTCTTCAGTGAGACGGGCAATGGGAAGCATGTGCCCCGAGCTGTCATGGTAGACCTGGAACCTTCCGTCGTAGGTGAGTATGGGCCAATATCTGCTCCTCAGAAAACAACAGGAGACTGTAGAGCCTTTGGCCCACGGAAGCTGATGGAGGTGACCTCACGTGACTTTGGTGTCAGTTCCTTCTGGTCTCCACACTTACTTTTCTTTTCCTGGTACAAAGGATTAACCCTGGAAAGCAAACACAGTCATGGGGAAATCCTGTAATATGGATCAAGGATCTCTGCTAATCCAAGCAGCAAAGAGGCCTGCATGAGATAGACTGAAACTGCCAAGATTGTTACTAAATACGAAGGCTTTAAAAACCCACATAGCCAAAATTACAAGAAACCCCGACATAGTCAGTTTCACAAAGTGTATGTTCCTGATTCTATAATAATTGTAGTCTGTCCTCATGGATCTGGTCTAACCTCAAAGTAGCTTACCCAGGAAATGGTGTGATAGCAGGCATGCTCACGGCCAGAGGTGCTGTAGTTAGTTCCAGAAGGAACCTCATTTGGAGCAGGGAAAATGCAGAGGAATTCTGACTTGTCTCTGGGCAGGTTTCTGGGTGCTTAGCCCCTTTCTTTCCATTCTCCTCCCACTCACCCTGGGTCTGACCTCTGGGTCAGCCCTCAGTTAAACATCAGGATTTCCTCAGCTTCAAGGCTGACTCATTAAGGGATGAACAAGTTACACAGAGGTAAATGAACAAAGGCTTATAATGCTTGGACACCAATTTCTAGGGGCAACTGATGACAGGTACCCCACCCTTTGGTTGCTTTATACAAATGCAAAAAGTACAGGCAACCACCCCAGGCCACTGCACACAAGGATGGCTTCCCTGGAGGAGCGTAAAGAGTCGTGAAGGGGAGAGGTGACCCGGTGGGGTCTGAGGCTTCTTGGTCTACTCAGGGAGTCTATGCAGACTCCTGGAAATGAGCAGATCCCACCCCACCCCACTGAAAGCCTTTCTAAGTCTTGTGCTCCTCTAGGACTGGAGCATGGCTTTGCTTAAAGTAATTCTAAACTAGGTCTAGCAGTTGGGGGTTGAGCTCAGTGGAAGAGCATGTGCTTAGCATGTGGAAGGCCTAGGTTCTGTCCCCAGCACCACACACATGTATACCTGTGTGTGTGTGTGTGTGTGTGTGTGTGTGTGTGTGTGTGTGTTTGTGAATGTCTAAGACCTGCCAAATATTATTGCTGCCTTGAGATGAAGGCGAAGGAAGAGACAATTCCTGGGAGGGCCTGGGGTCTGGGTAGATCACCCTGAATCTTTTTCCATGTCCTTGGGTCACTTGAATGCAAATGAAATTGGGTTAAATTATTGGTACCAAGGTAACCTTACACATGAAAGAAAAAACAAGAGGAGCCTCAAGGTGGAAGGAGGAGAGGTAATTAAACCAGAGCTTTGCACTGAGCTACTTCTTATTTATTAAATTTTTTTTTCTGGCCCTTTTTATTTTGAGATAGGGTCTTGCTAAGTTGTCTATGCTGGGCACAAACTTGGAATCCTCCACCTCAGCTTCCCACAGAGTGCTGGGATGACAGATTTATGTGAGCATGTCTGCCTAAACTAAGGCTTTTAAAATGAATCCAGCAGAGCATCTGGCTTTTCAGTGCCTGCCTAAGCCCTAGGCTCTGGCTTGGTTAGTGCCTATGTTACTCAACAATTCTCTTCACCTTTTGCAGATTTATTCTGGGGTTGTCTGTGTCACTTGAGTGGAGTTGTATAGGCACAGCCAAAGAGAAGTTTATCATGTGGTAATCTAACGGGGAGCAAGGCATCTCCCTGGAACCAGGTGTTAAGATCTAACCGCCTCCTCTCTTCCTAGATGAAGTTCGAGCAGGAACCTACCGGCAGCTCTTCCATCCAGAGCAACTGATCACAGGAAAGGAGGATGCTGCCAACAACTATGCCCGCGGTCACTACACAGTGGGCAAGGAGAGCATTGATCTGGTGCTGGACCGCATACGCAAGCTGGTAAGTGTCAACAGGGGCAGGGGAATGGTGAGCCAGGCTAGCAAGCAGACTTGGGCTCATGCCTCTCTCACCAGCCCGAGAAGAGTCACGTGACCCCTGGCTATCGAGAAGACCTCTGAAATGTCAGGTAAAAGGGCTGAAGACCAAGACCAGACCAGGCCACAACAAGCCTTTATTAGGGGAATAGATCTGCCGGGCTGTCTCTGAACAAAGGAGAGACAAAAGCAATATGGCTGGGGCAGGGGA